AAAGCAAAGCTTACTTAGCAAAGTTCGAATATGTTATAAAATACAGCCTGCTTCTTTCGAAACACATGGTAAGTCACGGTCACTAGTTTCATGCAAAATTCAAAACCTCCATCTTTAAAAATGGCGAAATGTGAATTTTTAAAAATGATGTTTTTTACACAAAAAATGCTCGAGTTTAAAACTTTTTTTTTCTTTTTTTTATAATGAATCAAATTTTTTTATGGCGTTTATCAAATTTCAAGTAAAAGTACTAATATTTCAGCTTACAAGTTCCATTAAAAAAATATTTGTCGGAAATGTATTTTGTTCTTTTGGAGAATATTTTAATAACATTATACAGGGTGATGAAAAAGTGACGTATTTGCTCGATGGTACGTCGGTAAGAAGGCTCTACAGAATTCGAAAAAAAAATGGTTAAAAAAATCTCTGAATCAAATTTTTGAAAATATTAAACTTCAAAATTGAAGAACTTCGTCATTCTAATATGTCTAATGTGAATTTAGTTGAAAATTTGGACTGATTGATTGATTGATAAAAATTGTCAAAAATTACATCTATCAACAGTAAAAATGACGTTATTATTAAATTATTAGTAACTAATTGTTTAACTGTTTAACTATCTTTTAGACAATACAATTCAATAAAAAAATTTCGAATAAGTTAATTCTTCAAGTTTGACGTTCAATAATTTAAAAATTTTGGTACAGGAATTTTTTTAACCGTTTTTTTAGGGTTCTTCAAAGATTTCTTAAAAACGTACCATGGAGCACTTACGTAATTTTTTCATCATTTTGTATACACTAGTATCAGAATATTAAAATTGTTGTCTTGTATATAAACGACTGTAAATTGTTATATATTTTAACCCAATAGACTCCTATTATTATTATTATTGTTAATATAAATCTAATAAAAAATTTTTGTAGATCGTTTAATTAAAAAAAAAATAGAATTTTCGTGTAACTTTTAACAACAACTGCACAAATTGAAAATAATTGTTGATGTTAGAGACCATCAAACTTTTTTCAATAATTCAGGATAAATAATCTTGGTTGTCAGCAAGATTCTGTTATCCGTATTACTACACAGGATGTCCCAGATAAACTCCCCAGCCTAATGCTCTGAAAACAAACCAATATTTTGTTAAATTACAACATATATATTTTTATTTTATAATAAGTATATTTTCATAAAACATTAAAACAGTAGTGTGCTTCCCCGTCCAAGCTGAAAACAATGGCGTTTACAAGATTTCAATATCTCTATACATACTTAGGATAATAGGCCACGGAGTTTTATCTAGGACACCTGTATATAGCCAACTTGATGATGTTTTTTGTTGATTGTTCTTCACATTTATGTATAAAATTCACTTGGAAATTATTAACTCATACCCAAGTTGCGGAAATTTATTTCTAATTTTTGTTTTCAAAACATTTAAATATTACGAGAATTTCAGTTAAATTAAAAACAATACAACACCGTTAAATATTTTTTGCTGCTATAATAAGTGAAAGATGGGTCTAAAGTTATTTAGACAAAACTTTTTTCTCCCGAACATCTAGGCACGTAATTGATTTATACATGTTAGCATATACCTAAGCAGTTCTAAAAAATTTAAATGCATTGATAAGCCAGTGTAGAATTATAATATTTTGCACACTTGTGACAGTAATTAGGTAGCAAACTTTTTAGATGACGTTATCAAGGGTCTGGAAGGTATGAAAAGATAAATTTTGAATTGTGATTTACCGTGCGCACGCGGTTTTGTAGTATAACTGTAAAATTTTGATTATTTTACAAAAATTTCGATGTCCAAGGAAAAAACGAGAACGGACTCATAAACCACAACTATAGAAGCATGTTATTTTATAAAACATAAATAGACTGACTTTGCAAAATTTTGAGATAGCATCATCAAATTGTGTCTATCTACGCGATATTCTTCAAATACGACTAATAAAATTTCCAACGGACGACAGATAACAGACAAGCGAAAACGGGACCTACTTTTTCATAATCTAGGGGTTAAGAAACATCGAGGAAACAAAAACAACCCTTCGCTAAATGTATTCAAGCTACGCCTACGCTCGGAAAATAAAATCTGGTTTCCTCAAACCCAAACCTTCCTCAGTCAATTTTTCGTTATAGCAGGTGACGAATTTGAATTTTAATTAATCAGCGTTGATAAGCGTGACGATATGTTAAGCGGGGGTGCGTATAATCAGCAAATAATTTGAAGGAAACAAAAAACCGAATTATGCTAAAAAAACCTAATGTATTAATTTGGAAAAAGCAAAATAGTGAGTGTGCGATAGTATCGCCTTACAGTGATTCTCGGCACATAATTTCTGTTAGCACGGAACGGCAGCCGGCGGCGGCAATCGATGTGGCTGCCGGGTTGCTATGGCTACACTTCCGGTTAGCAGCGCCACCGTTGCGGAGCTTTCGGTACTAACGGCGTGACTTATCGCCCGACAAGACAAGCTTTCGCCAAATTACCTTTACACCGCACCTCGCCCGCCGTCGGAATTATTGAAGTTTCTCATTGTTTCCAAAAGCACTCGCCGGAGAAGCAGTTGGTTTTATAATGTATTGTCTTTGATAAATGGAAACAAAGCTTTCACTTCGCAATAATTTCAGGAAAAGAATTGTTGTTTAGATAAGATAATTTCTCTGTTGGTATTCCAACTTGGATTCGCTTCAATTATAGAGTTAATCTATAGGCGGAAGAAAATGACAAAGACAATGCTTCTTGTATTTATGGGCGTAGCGTGACAGACGAAAGGTACAAAAGTTATTTATGCCAATCCGAGAGGACTTCTTAATCGACGTTACCTCAATGGTACAATAAGCTAACAAAGAGGAAACTTTTCCTTAACTTATCGAAGTTTCAACATTGTTTATTTTACCTTAGAAGGATACCAGAAAGATAGCTGTATCAGTCGAAATGCAAGAATTAGAAAATTCTTAGTTCTTGAAATACAAAGATTTTAGGAATATTGAAAAATCGCTCTAAAACCATAATATTTAAGGTTTGATTGTGAATAGCTGGATTCCAATTTTAACGAATATTTTTTTAATAAACACTCACCACCTGTTGAATTATGTTGTTCACTTGTTCGTAACAAGTAAATGAAAAAAAAAGAACGTACTCCACATTTTTTCTACTCTTGTTTTGACTTTTGCTTTTATTATTTTTTACACATAATTTTATATTTTAACAACTATCATGTCTATACCAACATTATGTCTGTATAACACAATGAATAAACAAATAAACTAAAATAAAAACGTGTAGTAAATAAGATAAGTTTTTTCTAAAAAAATAAAATGACCAAAACCAGATCTTAATTTTAAGGCGACGTCATTATATTGTGGATGGGGTTGACGATATTTTAATCAGACGGCAGACCGCAGACGACAGCTAGACGGAAACGGAAGACCTACTATTTCATACTCTAGGGGTCATGAAACGTCGAAGAAATAAGAAAATAGCTATTTGTGAGGTGGACCCTATTACAATACTTCCTTAGCTTAGGCTTGGGAAATAAAAAACAAGAGAAGGGAAAAGGCAGATTCATATTTAAGTCTTTAATCTTTCGTGGACATTTTAGCACATTATACGATTCCATATAATATTAAAAAAAAAATGTTTAAAAAACAAAGTTCGGTTTCTTAGATAAAATAAGTACAACATTTGATTCGGAGGATTTTATAATGTTATTTTTTGTCATGAAAATACTACTTTAATGAGCCATTCTATGTAAACAATTCTAAAAAATTGGAATGTGTATATCTACGATAAACTTAAGGTCCGTAAAAGCTTTCGTCATTAAATTTTTAGTGAGGATGAACAAATAAATTTTGTTTAGCGTTTTATCATGTACATAATATTCTTAAAACACGTATACAATTTCACAACCATCTGTCCGGTAATTTTCGAAGTTATTTGTTTAATAAAATCACCAACCGAGAGAGAGAGAGAGACAGAAACTCTATATGTACCTGAACAGGTATTGTGCGAAAAGCTCATTTCTGAAGCGGTTTCGAATTTAAATCAGACTTTCTTTTTTAAGTACTTAACAATACTTCCATCATTTTAAAGTTTAAATCGATAAAAATGCGCATATACTTAACATTTCCTATCATTTAAATAATTCCTTGTCAGTGTAGTTACAATTCTTAAAGCTGTCACGAATTTGTCCGAAATTACATATTTATATATTCTTGAATCTCAATACATCCGGTTGTTTGCTCCTGCGACGTCTAAATGAAGTGGTTTTAAACAAAATAATAGAACTCCGTAAAAATAAAAGCCCAATCCTAGTAGATACGTAGGAGACAATAAAACATAACGTATTGTCAGGAAGAGATTCATCCCCTCTAAATCAGTTCACAAGGGAAGGAGGGATTTATTTATGACGCAACAAGCCATTCGTATCTGGTTCTTCTGATTGGCCGCCATTCAACCCCTAGCTCCACCTATTCAAAAGCTCGGCGTGAAAATACAGTGAAAAAGTTCACAGTTGATCATAAATGTGCTTCATATTCGGGCAACTTGACAGATTACTGTAAACGTCGTTTAAATTGCCTTTGACACTAGCAATAATCGAAAAAACTAACCAGTGGTGACATTTATTTGTTGTTGATGGTTTTTCCATTAGTAGATGGTGACGACAGATGCTGTGTTTTGTGAATAATTTATTTTATGCGAAATATGTAACGCACTGACCGAAGATCTTTAATTGTGCTTTGATTATCACTTGCGATGTTGGATATAAAGCCGACGGCAGATTACTTGAGTAGAAGCTCTACTTTCAGTAACTTCTCCATGTTATTCGCTGGTAATAATTAGTTCTGTAAAATGTTTACTAATTTGACACGTGTTAATTTTTATACAGGTGTTAACTTTCTGTAGTGTAGTAATCCAATTAAGTAATATTATTATGGTTAGTTTGTTGATTAAAGAAGTTACTGACTGTCGTTTGTTGTTACAGATACGTCATACAAAGGATCATGGAGCACTCATGCCACCTCACAGTCCCAAGGTAAATACTCAATTTAGATCTTTTCTGAGCTTTCGAAGTAGAAGTAGTTTGCTTGAATTTTACACGTTTATTTTAAATTGAAAATGACGAATTTTGCTGGATTCTAAAATATTTTGTAATAATTAACATCTACAAATATTTGCAGGAAACACAAATGTCATTGTAGAAATTGTACTGTTAGCTGGTAGCACCTTGTTCAGTTATTTATATCAGTGTTATGGAAGTTGAGCTAAATATTCTTGCGTTTTCTTAAGTCAACAAATAGTAATAAGTATCTCACATTACATTTTTCATTTTAGGGTTAATTTAGGCAGTTTTTTTATCTTCAAAGTAATAGTAATGGATACAACCATTAAAAAATCATGGTGGATATTTTCAATTGTGTCAGTTTTTGGTTTTTAATGTTCGCAGAAAATAAGGTCCTTCTATCGGTATTTGTCGTCGCTATGGTTAATGTTGAAGCATTGTTTTCATGGTGTTTTAATAATGGAAAACACGGAAATTAGATTATATTATATTCATTACACCGAGAAAGTATCAAAAACACGATCACGGACAGCTAAGGATTTATTAAAATTTGTGTTTGATAGAATTTTCGTCTTGTCAATTTGAAAGTTTGAGTTGAAAATGCGACTCCCAAAGACAAACTGTCAAAAATCTACTGCTGTCTTTGATCGTATTTTTATGGCTTTTATGCATCAAGAGAGCAATAAAAACATTATCAAAATAGCAAGGATTTTTGAGATTTGTCTTTGATAGTGGCATTTTCAACTCAAACTTTCAAATTGACAAGAGGAAAATTAAATTTCTAATTAATGGATTAAAATAGAGTTAAGTATATTAATTTATAAGAACCATAAATGTCACTATGTTAAGAGTTTAGAATTGAAATTTATAAAATAGTAGGACAAATCAAACGATTTTTCACACTGCGTATATTTTAGAAATAAATTTTAATATCGAAAAATTTTATTTAATAGTCGTTTGATTTTATGCATGAATAGTTCAGGCAACAATAATTTTTATATCAATAAAATAAATTTCAAATGAACCAAATACTGAAAATAAATCAACATCGCATGAAACACGTATTGCATAATAACGAATAGTACTATTTTTTTACAAAAACTGACTGGAATTGATAAAGATTTTCGAGATAGACTACATCTTCTGGTGACCTCCGTATAATAATAATATAAGTAACATATACACATTCTAGTGTTAAAAAAAATTGTGAAAATTGAATAAATATTTTATGAATAGTTTTATTGCTTTATATTTTTAATATTTTGACATTTTCTTCATCAATGGTTCGGAGCAATTTTCATTTAAATGGTCAAAAATTTTCGTTTAAAAAACTATCAATTATAGTGCAACTTTGGTACTTGATAAGTCACCTACAAAATTTTTTCTAAATTTTTAGTACTAAGCTTCTTCCTAAATGTTCATATTATCTGGTTAAAAGAAAAATATTTAAAAAAATTGATCGTATCATAAGTTCAAAATATTTATTTTTAGGCAACGATATGCCAAATGTAAAATTATAACAGTGGTTGAAAATATTGTTAAAGAGGTCAGATATTTTTTAACATAGACTATAGTTTAAATTTTAGTATACTTGTCCAAATATAAATTGTTTTTAAAAACAGTTTCATTTATAAACAACTTAAATGAGGTGATGTTGATGGCATAATTATTTAAGCTTGAATGTTAAACCAAAAACGAGTAGTTAAACTTTCCTGATCTTATTTATATTAAGTTTGCGCAATTATTTTAGCCTTGTCGAAAGTTGTTTCGACAGAACTTCCCTCGCACCTAAGGTATAAGATTTTCGAGTTTAGTTTTTACTTTACACAATTTTGTGATGACGTCATCAACATTTTTGCAAGAACATGTATATCAACGTGGATTGGTGCAGTGTAATATTAAAAATGACAGTATTGTATTATCAAAATTTTCTGGTAAAATGGAATAAGCCGTCCCTGATTTAATCAATAAAATAAATTGACGCATCCATTAATTTTTTGAGCCACCTGTATAAGCAAATATAAAAAATATGAATGCAATGATAAATTACAAGTAAAAATTCTTATATTTTGTACATTTTGGGTTGAATTTATTCGACCAAATTTTGAGATGACGTCATAAATTTTGGGAGGGGGGGGGATAAACAGATATATTTTGATTCAGAATTTGTCATCGTTAGAATAACTTTAAAACGTCTGCAAGATTTCAAAGTACTCATTTTTGCAATTCTTGATTTATTCAACAAAATAAACTGACTGATTCATTAATTTTTTTGAGTCACCCTGTATAAGCAAGTCTAAAAAATATGAATGTAATAATAAATTACAAGTATAGACTGATCATATTTTAGGCAAAATTTTGAGCTGAGGCCATCAATTTTTTTGATTAAAAATTTATCATGCTTATCATAACTTTAGAACATCTGCAAGATTTTAAAACATTCGGATTTGCAGATTCAATTAAATTGCAAAATGTTTTATAAATTAGATTTTTTTCAAAAATGTACGTTTCGGGTAAAAACTCAAGGCGGAATTATAAACTACTTATGTAGGACTATGTTATTATATCTGTCAAATAAAAATCTGGACAGACGGCAGACAGACGGATAGATATACAGACAAACAGACAGACAGACGGAAACGGGAGACGTACTAATTTTACTTTAGGTATTATAGAATGTATAACAAATAACATATGAAAAACAAAAAAAATGTTGCCTTACATTTCAGCTACTGACAACTTTTTTATCAGCCTGATATTTTCGTTCTGACAATTTAATAAAAGTTGTAAATTAATTAGTTGCTAATTAGTTAGTTTAATTCTAGTCTGGTGGTTTCATCACATGTTTATATGGTTTCACGACCAACGCCAAATTAGGGTTGTCTGTCTACATATCGTGGTACATATATTCTTATTTTCTTAACTGTTAGACATGCATTCGGTAAACCATAGAATTTTCAGGAATCAGTGTTTTAAATGTGATCAGTGAAGTTCTCTTTAAATCTTCGTACTAAAACCCAAGTAGATCTTAGGTTTAAAATTAAAAGTGACTGTAGAGGAAATGTATTGTCAAAGTAATGTTCATGTAAACATTAACGGGCGCTGAAAGCAGATGTGAGGAAAAATTTGTAGCAAATTTTGACCATTGTTATTCATATTATTTTTGCTACAAAAACTTATTAATATTTAGTTTGCGTCATCAATTCGCTGTCTAAAATATTCTGTTATCTGTTCACGAAACATAAATAACAAGCAACGTCAAATTTTCAAAAATCGGAATGTACATACATACCTAAGGAGGTTAGAGAAATCTGTTTTTCGCATGGAATATAGCAGACCGTAGCCTGTCATTATTATAGGTTATCTCAACGGATCTCAGGGAATTTGTTGTTATACCATCCTCCTTTTACTTTTATGTCATTTGTATTTAGTGAATGAATACTATAAATAAGATATTTTATTAAAATTTAATAATTATGAGAGTGTTTTGAATTTCAGTAAAAGGAAAATAAATAATTAATAGAGCATCATAATTAATAATCATTAAATTCATCTGCCTGAGGAAGGCCATACTATGTACCGAAACACTTGTGGCAGTGTTTCCAGCAAAAACTGTACGGTATGTAGTAATTTGTTTGATATTGCCATGATTAAATTTTGATAACTCGTGTTGTAATTTCTATTAAAACTTTAATATTAGTCGTAAACGTATTTAACAATCCGTTCAACCTTTCTTCTATTCTCTATGTTATTCTATTAGTGTTGGGTGAAACACCCTCTACAAATCAAGGATAAAACTGAATCGAAACGTTGTTACGTCCCTCATTCTGTACATTTCAGCTTCAAATTCGTGTCATTTAATTATGTATTTAGGGGAAACCGAAAATTTCGTGCAAAAAGAAATTCCATTATACACCGGTAATAATGAAGAGCGTCGAACGGGAAATAGAAAATTCCCGCGACGGAAAAATGTAAAAATAAATGACGGAAAATCCTCGACATAAACCAGATAACCGAAAACGACAAATCGGCTAATACAAATTTCCTCGCAAGCTAAAATAAAATCTCATAAATTTGTTGATTTCGGATCTGTAGGTATTTCGTGGGCTCCCCGTTGCCGTTCTTGCGCTCGACTCGAGAGCGTGAAGCTCACGGCAGGAAATTCGCCACCGGAGCCGGGAAAGCGAGAGGCGCGGGTGGTTTCCTGACGTTCACTTAATATAACCCTCCACCAAGTGGCTTCCGTCGGCTATGAAACAACCAACACAACGTTTTATAACCAAATTTTGACTAGCTGCCTACGAGCCGCTCGATGAAACGGCACTAATTTGCATATGAACATTATAATTTTGATGATTATGTATTTCAGGGGCAACTTTGTAAGCTGAGGAAAATTATGAAAACATAAAAGAAAAGTGATTGTTTTTGTTGCGGCACTGCACTCTTACATACTATATACCATTTAGCTGTAAGTTTGAAGTTTTGTCACGCGACGCTTGACAATATTTTACACGCATTTCACCTGAATTCTTTTCAAACGCAGAGTTTTAAATAATTTCGTCATATCCTATCTGAAGTAGAAAACTTACTACACATACATCATTAAATAAATATATTGTATAAAACTTGGTCTAAGATTGTTCAGATAGAACTTCCCGCGCCCCTGAAGTACAGTCAAACAAATCCAGCCTCTTAGAGCAGTTATAAGAATTTATTTTGCGTCTAATATTAATTAATTATTAATGTAATTATAAATCTAATATTTAATAGCAGCACCGTATTCCCAAATTTTCGGGAAAATGGGGTCAACAGTTTTTAATTTGATCAGTAATATGAATTGCTTTACCCATTAATTTTTTTAAGTCATCCTGTAAGAGTAAAAAATGTGAATGCATTGATAAGATTGATAAGACTAAAGAAAAAGAAGATCTAATTTTGCATATTTTAGGTAGGATTTATTCAGCAAAATTTTG